CTGGGCCTTGAAATGGAGAAAATGGAGGAAGGTAAAATTTAATTTGGTGCACGTGGTCTTTTCAGCAAACACAGACCTCTAAGCTTTCCCAGTATTCCTCTATAGTATTGACCAGCACCTGAAACTTTAGAAGGAAGCAGACTTTGTCACACACTAGACATGATCTGTGCTGGACAATGAACTGTCGAAGGGAGAAGAAGGAGGGACTGTTATTTCTACTACCTATATATATCTTTTTACTATCTCTATATGTCTTTCTTTGCCCTAAGTTATAGTATTTGCCTACTCTTCCTCTAAAAAATTTAAACCATACACCAAGTTATATATTGATAACCTGATTACTGAAGTCAGTTCTGAATCCCTGGGCTCTGTTCTGAAGTTTTACTTCTACATGCAAAGCAGCATTACAGATACTTAAACATTTCTTTCCCCAAACACTGAAGACCAAGGAAGTTCGTTTACTTCAGTACTGGTCATATTTGGCACTCCCCTTGCAAACCCCACTCCATTTCACGAAGCTTTTCCTCCTGGTGAATGCATCAAAGGCCTACAAATCACACCAACCATAAGGCATGACTGCTATGACTGTGCTTCCTGATCTGTACGATTCTGGCAACTGCAGCTGAGGAAACCTACCCTGATGCTTGTCTGTCCACTCTATGGTTAGAGTGTTCTCTAAGGCTAGTTTCAGCCTCCTGTGTATGTGAGTGCATCTCTCCTGCCTGGAGAAGGAAGAAACGCTGGTTGTTTTAGGACCCCAGTTCTGAGCTTTCTAATCCTACTGCAATTTACTATCAATGTTTTCAGTGACAATGTCCCGAAGCTAAGAAAGCTCCTCTGTGTATCACAGAATTTGTATATTGTCAGTATCTTTTCTCTTCAGTAGAGATTTGCTAGAAAAATGCAGGACTTTTACGAAGTCAGACTGCATGTCCTCAAGCTGCACGTGACCAGACAGGAAAGCCAGGGGAGGGGAAACCCACCATTGCCAGGTCCAATCAAGTGGATCTCTGCATGCACTTCCACCCGTCACATCCTTGGCATGGACAGTTACAGTCACGTGGTAGGTGTGAAAGAGGTGGGGGGGGGTTGGTATGCTAGGCTGCTCCTAGAATTCCAACTGCATCAACATGAAGTGTCGGCCTGCGGTAGGTGTGAAAGAGGTGGTGGGGGATTGGTATGCTAGGCTGCTCCTAGAATCCCAACTGCATCAACATGAAGTGTCGGCCTGTGATATGGCAGGGCTAGTGCCATCACCATATGCAAATGCAGTGATAATTACTTCTTTTGATGTGTGCTGGACATGGGCTTTCTCACAAGCTATAAAACTCTTCTTTCGGATAAAAGGCCTTTTCTTAGTCTCTGGCTCTGGGGTTAAAACAGCATTTCTTTTCACTGAAATGGTGTGAGAGAGACTTTGTTTCATTTTCCACTTTCCTTACCAGTTTCTCCTCTTCTCTTTGTTGTTTGGCTTCTTCTAGTTTCCTCCTCCGTTCTGCCCGCTGAGCAGCTCTCTCCTCCATAGCTACAGAAACGCAAGGACATAAGGCTTAGTGGAAATGAGCTACAGGATAATGGCAGAAGTTTAGTGAACAAGGAAGACCACTTCTCTCTCCTGCCATGCCCCCATTGACCTCTGGCAATGCCAGTGCAAAGCAACTTGCTTTCTGCTGCCTCTTATGGCTGGCAGTGTCATGAACAAGGAACCCAGAAACGTTTATAAGATGACTCAGGACCAGCCCAAGTCTCATTAGTGAGAAACTACTGCTTAATGCTTCTTTTGGGAGACAAATTGCAATGTGGTGCCCTTGCTGACATGACCACAGAATATGCAGTGGAGTTGAGAACGCATGCTGCCTTCTCCGAAGTCACAAATGAAGCACAGGCTGGAGCAATCGATAACTGGGGGGCATTTAACTGTTCTGACCACAATAGGCTTCCCCAGGTTCTTTTCTCCTCTCAGCTGTCCAAGGGTCCTCTGCCAAGAAAAAATCATCCAGTGATAACTTAGTCACTGATTTTTTGGGGGACATTTAAACAAAGCACTTGAGTGCTCTAAAATACATTTGCTGTTCCTAAGCTGTACAGAGTGAAGACAAATCAGAGTGAGTGATGGCTTGCACTAGGTAGTACTGGAGCTGAACACAGTCAGTTAACGTAAGGCAACTATTAATGCCCAGCTATCATGGCCATAAAGCTCTGTTGATCCCAACAGATCATGATCCCACAATGATCATATTCCAGCCAGCCTTTCATGCAGACTGTGACCATCCGCCCATTGATATGGAAGAACACGACCTAGGGATATAACAGAACCTGATCTTAATTTACTCCACGAAAACGCTGTGCTGCATGTTTAACATGTATACGCTGTTCCAGCATGGCCAGAGAAGCAGAGATATCTCACAGAGGCAGGAATCCAGAGCTCCTTCCCCAGCCTAGCTGCTGTTGTCTCACAAAACCTTGGGTAGGCACTTACTTCCCTTTGAAGTCTGAATACCTCTGTCACAGTTAGATGAAAATGACCTGCTGTTGTCTCACAAAACCTTGCGTAGGCACTTACTTCCCTTTGAAGTCTCAATACCTCTGTCACAGTTAGATGAAAATGACTGGTCAGTTTGTTACTTGGATGCGTAATGAAGGGATAAAAATGACACCGAAAAACCCGGTAGAGCTTCTCTCTCTGAGTCTTGTCACACCAGAAACAATCACAAGTGTTAACAGTAACCACTACTACAGTATACTGAGCATGGACTTGCGGGGCTTGCGGTGGCCCAGGTTTTACAGATGCCTGACTTGGACATAAAAACAGCTCACTCCCTCACAGCGCTGGTCAGGCTGGGAAAGGAAGTGCTGAGTTTTACTTGCATACTGTCATCAGCCAGCAAGGCTGAGGGGAAGAGAGGCTTCTGGACAAGCTGTTGAGAAATGTGGTCTGGAATGGTCTTCGCTATCTAGAACAATACCTTTCAGTATGGGATGAGCTGAGGTCAGCTGGCTGGAGGGCCTCTTGCCTTGCATCACTGCTCTTGTGTTTTCTGGCCCATGAGAAACAGGTGGACTATGAAAGGGAAGAGTAAAGAAATTCATCAATGAATGCAGTCAAATGATGTCTCACAGCTACCACCTTTTGTTGCAAAACAGGCCTTGTAGTTTCTATTCTTTGTTGTGCTGCATTTTCATCCTAAATCCCTGATACACCTTTCTTCTACTTGAAAGGGGATTAATGATGTATGCTTGCAAAGGAGAGGAGTACCCAGGGCTGATGCATGTTCTGAAGTACTGAGGTCAACAATCTTGTTTCCTAACTAAATAAATCCCTGCTGCTACTACGTGACACTCTGGCGTTGCTGTTTCTAAGTGGATCCTGTGTGGATCGCAGGGTGTAGAGCCATTGCCAAAGAAGGAGAAGGATGGAGAACTGTGGCCAGCCTGACACTACCCTTGAGGCTAGGTCACAGGTGAGAGGAAGAGATGATAGCGCTAGCATGTCTGAAGCGTGCCTGGCAAATTCTGGCTCAGCTTGAGTAGGAATGAGATATGCTGACTAATTGAGCCTGCTTTACGAAGGGCCTTACATCAAATGCGTTGTATTCTTGCATTTGGGTTGTTTTTCCCTCTTCAGTTTTTCCTCCCTAGTTTGTGAAGCAGAGTTGTTAAGTCCCTGGGTTACAGACATGGCTTGTGCCGCCTCTTCTTTAGCTCTGCTCAGCCTCTGCTTTTCCTGCAGTTCAAGGATCAGCTCTTGCTGTTTCTGAAGCTGCTGCCTCTGCTCCTCAATGAGGCGTTGCTGGAAGGCATGACGGTGCTCAAAACGGCTACCGTAAGCAGGAGCTGTCTTTGGACCAGGTGCCTGAAACTCCTGGGGGAGAGTGGCTATTTGATTCCTGTACACAGCCTGGTCCTGGGTACTCAGGGCTGCATCTTTTAGGGTAATGTCCCAGGCAAATTTGGGTTTTCTGCAGGAATGAGATGTGAGCGCAGCATCCCAACAAGAGTGGTCTCTGGTCTGGTCAGGTCCTTTCTGTATGAGGCGAGTTTCAGTTGGCTGGCAGGAAAAAAAAAAGAAATGAAGAAAATTTGGCATTGATTAAAACCAAGCACTCTTCTGCCCTTGCTACACAGTGTTTCTTTAATGCAAATCTAGTGAGATCCCTGAGAAGTAGGGTAATCTCAGCTATACAATCTTTATCCAGTTCCTCACTAGGGCAGAGGGGGCCCCATTATGCACAAAATGGGAGGCTATGGAAAAAAAACATTAAGGAGCCATGTGCCATTCCCTTGGGAGGAACAAACCTCGATCAGGCAAGAGCTCTGGCAGGAATATATCCTGACTATTTTGTTAGGGAGCACAGCTCAGGACAGCTCATCTCTCAGGGATTAGCACACTCCCTTTTGGACTGTGTTGTCCCCACTCAGCACTCGGAGAATAAAGGAAAAACAATTGCTGAAGTGATCTACACAGCTGATCTACTGGACAGTCCCTTTACAGGTGGAAGAGGAGTCTACAAGGTGCTGCTTCCTCATGCCTCTTCTCCAGCTTTGATAAATATTACCATGAAACTGGTGCACAGTGAGGAATGAGGCTGCACCTTTTCTGACACATGGTTTTTCTCTGGAAAAGGCATCAGATGTAAGATCCACTTTCTAATTCCTAGGTCAAACTCCAGATGCAGTCCCATCCTTCCAGCATGAATTTTACTAGTACATCTGAAGAAAAATATGGGCCTCCTAGGATGATATGAGCACCATAGGAAATCAACTTTTGCTGACAGTTAAGCAAACTGAAATCTTGACCTGTAATATGTGTAAGAGTGCGAGCTCTCATACTGGGATCAGGACACTGCTATGGTACAGGTTCTATAGACAGAAAGGAAGGGCAGGTTCTGACCTGACAAATGATAATTTAAAGAAGCAATTTCTCATCCTCCTCTGCTACCTCCTTGTGATGCACACTATCCTGAAACAGCCAGTGACAACTTTTTTCCCCCATGTTTAAAAACCAGAGAGCTGCACTGGCACAACAAAATCTATTGTCATGCAGTCAAGCATTATTCAAGTCTAAGCAAGCATCAAAGATGTAACTAATCTCTCAGCAAAAGTGATCTGGGGCTGGGACGCTCATTGCAACTCACAGTACGTGAAGGACTGTTCTCTGGCAGCATTAGAGATTATTTTTAAAACTCATCTATTGTCCTTCACGTTTGCCTCTGATATTTAAAGACTTCCCTCTTGAACAGTTGCAGGCCCGTATTTGGGGGTCACCCTGGGAAAGAAGCCTTCCTCTGTGACAACGTACTTTTTATTTCAGATTGCACAAAAGAAGTACTTCATAAGAGTACTGACACATCAATGGACAAAAGTCCATGGGAAGGATTTACCTTGTCCTGCTGCAAATCTTGATGATGGTTTACTTCTGCTGTCCCACGCTTGTTTACCTCCAGTGGCCTGTCCAGACCACCCTTCCCCAGTGACACTGCCTCCAGCAGCTCTGCCATCTTTCTCTTTGTCTCCTCCCTCTTGTTCTGCAGCTCTCGCTTTTCTGTCTCTGCTCGGCTCCAGTGCTGCCACGCCAGAAAGCAGCAGCGCAAAAGCCGTCGCTGGTTATGCTCTGCAGACAGTTGTTTTTTCCTGAATGAGAAAGCCCTTGTGTTATAACAGGAGTGAGGCTTCTGCCCAGCCCTGCCTGAAACAATTGCGTCAAGTGCAGCCGCCCAGGCCATGGCACGAAGCCCCATCACTTCTCGAGTCTTTTTGTCGCGTAACTCTGAAGGGCCTCCAAAGCGGTACAGTGTTTCTCCAGGGAGAAGTGGAAGGGCAGAAAGGATGCCCATTACTTTGAAGTAAGTTTCCCTTAGTTCACATTTTGCAGTTTCCCGTGTCATCCTGGGGCTGTAGGATAAGTGCAAAAGAGGTATCTTGTTCCCTTGCCAGCTGCATAGGGGGAAGCGGCAGTGCCCCTAGGCACTGGGAATTCATCCAACAGCCTCCTTAATGAAAGGCACTGGCCAAAATGATCTGTGCTATACTGCTACTGAAATAAGCAACAACTATGTTAATCAGGAATAAATATGGCACCTCATATTCTCTGGGGTCCAGAGCAAGCCACGGTGAGATTCCCAGGAAAGATACCTGCAGAGGCAGTGAGACACAGGCTTGTTGGAAAGTGCTAATGCTCTTGTTTATCTCTGTCCTCTTTTTCATCTGTGCCACAGGCAGTGTAGTGATTTTCTCAAAAAGCTACTTTTTTCCTCCTGCTGACTAACTGGCAAGCTCCTTTCACAGTCCCTGATCACTCCACTGCCCGAGTACTGCTGCGGTAGGAGGAATTCCACAGTGAAGGGTCACTACCTGTTTTGATCTTGTAGATGAACTTGCAATTGCTGTGTCTCATGCTCTACTTTCTGGGCCCAAGTATAGTTTCTCCAAGCTTGCAGGGCCTTCAGTTGGCATTTCCAGTCAGCAAGAACTCTGGCTTTTCCCATTTTAATTCTATGCTCCAGAATGACTTTTAGCCAAGCAGAGAAATGTCGTTGCAAGCACTGTTTGGGAGAATATCAGAAAACCAATAAGCAAGATGTAGCCTATCACACAAATGTTGATCCTCTCCACTCCTCCCCTTATCTGAATTTCCTTTTTAAGATTCTTTTTAGAATCCTCACTTTCCACAATTACCTTGAGGGTAAAAAAAAACACAACACAGAGCATGTGCAGGTCTTCTACAAAAAGCAGAAAGGGACTAGAAAGATAAGATCATAGAGCTCTGTGCTTTTGAGTGAAACACATTTAGCTCACCACATGTAAAGGAATAAAATGGGTGAGGAACATAGAATTTCCAGAAACAGGAAAGACATTTCAAAATCTAGAAAATGTTTAAGACTCTACAGGTAAGAACACTTCTGTGGAGAACAGTTCACAAATATCTCCATGGACCACCTTGGGTTGTTTTTTTTTTAAACTTTGACAAAAATCAAGACACTTCCTAGTGTGAATTTATGACATGACCTAGGCTCACCCTTGTTTCAGTAGGAAGCCAAATCTTTCTCCTATTATGTAATTAGACTCACTGCCTCTGGGAGTGATATACGTTGTACAGAACAGCAATTTGCTATCTAATCTACCTCGTAATTCTAGCCCTGTCACTGCAGACACTGTTCATTTTGATCCTCCAAGTGGGTCAACTCATAGGACTCAGCTGTTCTCCTTTTGTCATAATGCCTTGTTTTAATTGCATTCCTCTCAGTCACTGAAATCTCCAAACGGAGACTTACGAAAAGGACAAAATGTCAATGCATTAGCTATTTCTTTCTGCTTCAGGAAAATAATCAAAGTGTCACTATTGCTTAGCTCAGCTAAGCTGTGGCTTCTCACATTATGCCAGCACTAAATTGTTCTGTGGTTTCATTCAGGCTTATCTTCACAGCTTAGATTGTGCTGGAGCGAGGCTGTGTACTGCTAAGCAGTCGCCAAGCTCAAATCCAGCAGACATGCAGATGAAATGAGCCATGGGGAGCATCACCATAAAAGCCATGGGATTCTCCTACAGACAAAAATCTAGATGTAGATAAGTAGACATTAATGATGATGACTGCTCTTTTAATTAAAAACATGACGTAATAGATGGCATTCATACCTGAACTCAGGGAAATTTATTCCCTTCACTGAGACTACCCATATAAAATTATTCAGTACAAGGAGATCCCTCTTTGATTGCAAGTATCTGATACAACCAAATGTTTAACCCATCTTATGTTTAACCAAATGTTTAACCCATCTGGCCGTGGTATCAGAATAATGAGGGTAAAAGAAATAGGTTCCTACTAACAAATACTAAAGTCTGCATGTTTGCCTCAAAACAGCTGTTGCAATATCACAGAATATTCTACTGCACCCAGTGGGAGCGGATGCTTGAGGAACCTGATATTGTGGATGTGCTGGCATACTTCAGCTCTTGCAGACCCAGCTCAAAATTCATCCCAGTCCTCAGCACTTCTCTTTCCTCTCCCTGCTCCTGCACCAGGGTCTGCAAGGCAATCTTTAAAATATCTTCCCATATACACAGTAAGGGCTTCTCAGATCCTTTTGTGCCATTTCCCCCCTTTTACTTCCTTCCTCAAGGGAAAATAAATCTTGCTCCGCTGCCTCCTCTGTACATCTGCCTGTTTCTCAATTGCAGAAGCCTTTTTTGTTCACAACTGTCCTGAGAGCCAGATCTTTTCTACAATTCTAAGTGAAACTTCCCACTGAGTACACTTGAGGCACAGACATGCTGGGGGTGGAGGCTCAGGATTTCTTGCTCCTAGTCTTACAAGACACTTTTTGCCCTGCTCTTCTACTTTCCTGGAGTAAGGAGGAGGGCTTGACAGAAGTAGAAACTTCTGATAACCAGGACTTTTTACTTCAGTTTTGCAAATGGTAGCTGAGGGCAGGAAGCTCAGAGTCTCAGGTAAAGAAGGGTGATGCTCACTCTCTGCTTATTGGTGTGAATCCTGCGCAGCAGCTCCTGAGCCTTTCTCTGTTTCTCCTCTCCTTGCTCTTCTTTCTTCAGGACCGGGGGTGGTGACACAGTAATAGGTATCTCCTGAATTGACAGCTTCTGACTTTCTTCTTGTCTATTCCGCTCCCTGAAAAGTGAATAAACACACAGATCTAATGCAATGAGGAAAGTACTGCAGCACAGATTTCACTCTCTTTTTGGCCAACCTCTTCAGTTTAGAAAGTTGCTGATTATTTAACTCAGCCTTCTTAGAAAACTGCCTCTGTCATGGTTTGGGGTCCCAGAGATTAAACAGTCTGGAGCATTCCCAAAATACAGCAGGCAGAAGAAAATAGTAAGAGTTCAGTAAAGCACTTGCATGAGAAGATTTAGGATCTCAGGGCTGCCTAAGTAAATAAATGGCATCCCTACAAGTCACATCTCTGTGACAATCCAAGCTCAGCAGAAGCAAAAAATATGTCTCTGCAGAATTCTTAGCCAAGAATGCTCTTTATTCTCTCACAGCAGAAGTATCACAAGCGCTAGACTTTCAACATAGACTGTACTAAGCAGGCTAGCGATTCATTCTTCGTGTATGTGTGTGTGTACTGGCTTTCATGCTGCATTAGATGCTAACAAGGCTGGATGTGGCCAGAGTTGATGGAGGGAACAGACACACTGCAGACACACTCCTACTTTGTGACTCAGCATACATAGTGGTAATGGCTGACGGGAGGCTAACAGCATGTTCAGCCCATCCTCCCACTAATGATAAACTCTGCCAATGAAGTTGGTAACAAAGGAATAGAAGGTTTTGGGAGAGATTAAAGACAGGAATAGCACGTTTCCTTTGGGACCACCAATCCTCTTACATTTAGCAAAAGGAGGCGACAAGAGAAGTGCTCTTCATACGGATCTTTCCATGCCCCCCTCTCCCTCTTACGTTCTCCATGCTTCTGCGATAGTATGCCTCTTCTCAGCCATTTCCTTTCGCAGCTTTACCATTTCCCTCTGGATCTCCTCCTCCTCCTTCTTGGCCTTCAAGGCCTTCCTTCTGTCCTCCTCCTGTGCTCGGAGCCTGGCCTCAGATAGAACTGATTTCTTCATGGACTTTTCTTGTCTCTGAAGTTCTAATGCCTTCTGACGCCTCATTCGGTTTTCTTTCACCTGGGAAGGAGGAAATCGGCAAAAGTCAAAGCAGGTGCCAAAGGCTGAAGAATTTGAGGTTCCGTGCACACTGACAGGGTGGGTCACAATCCACCTTTCACATCAAGCAAGCAACCCTATCCATACCTGGCACTGACTGGACTGGTTCTGCTCTTAGACCAGAAAAAAACTGGATTCAAGAGTGGGGTTAAACCAGTATTATTTGATGGAAGCAAACTCAGAACTGACTGCCATGGTGGCTTTTTCTGTCAGTCTTCAGAAAGGAGAAGAACCTGAACACATGTAGTATAAGTTGACTGTGCAAGCTACCGTGAATGGCTAACGTGTACGCAGAAATGCAGTAATGTTTCAGCTAAACTGTGGAAGAGTATCCTCAGGTATTTGCCTTCAAGTCAGAGATTATTGCAGGCTGGGGAAGAATACTGGGGGAGTATCACTGAGCATTTACTCTAATCCTATAGTCCTCCATCTTATTCCTTTTAACTGTGGTGCCTTGCCTCCTCACCTGCTTGTGTCTGAGCTCCATGATTATTCGTGGATCTGCCAGTTTTTGTTTTTCCTTCATGTCTTGAAGTCTAAGGTTTTCCACTATCCCACAGTTCACAGCTTCGCTCTGCAAAAGATGCTGTAGGTATTCTTGGACAGAAGAACTTTCCAATTCATTTTCCAGATAGCTGCACAAGTCTGAAATTAGGAATTTAGATTATCTCAGGCTAGTCTGAAATGAATAAACCCCTCTGTCTCAGATCACAAAGCCTAATGTAATTAAAGGGATCACTTTCCCAGACTGTGAATGTATTTCTGATGAAAGCAGACACACTGGCTGCACTCCATTTATCCCCAAAGAGTCTTAATCAGTCTCCCATTGAACATGCTAGAGCAGTAACAACATCTCGTCCATTTTTCACTACTTTGCCTCTGAGCATCTCAAACGGCTGTATGCATTTGACAGGCCTCACAAATACCCATACACAAAAGAAATAAAATTTCTCTTTTACAATGGGAGACATCAAATGTTTATGAGGTGCATTTGTGCAGCCCTACAGGAAGCTGCTGTAAAAGCTGGGGGAGTAAAATCATCACCTCTACACTTGTTTCTACTGAGCCCACTATCCTGGCCTCAAAGCAAGTTTTACTTCTCAGTCTGACAAGCCACAAGGCCTGACTCGCTTCCCCAGCACACCCTCAGAAAGGAAGCCAGGAACTGCTTTGTTGTGCTCTCACCATCAAACCGCTCACACTTCAGAGGGGCTGCAGAAGGCTTTTCCAGGAGGACAGAGTCAACTTCCTCTTCTCCATCTCTCATCAGCTCCAGTTGCAGTTTGGACTTCATCCAGTTACTGAGCAGCTCTTGGGCTATCATGGGGAAAGAGACTGATGACTTCACTTGCTTAAAAAATATATGGGTAAGTGTAAACTAGCAAGACTCTGTCTCTGGGATAGTCATATCACATGCTGGGAAGGCTGTCTAAAATGACTGAAAGCTGAGCTGCAACAGAAAATGGAATAAGGCTAATAGCTCTGTTCTCATCTTCTTGATCTATAAAAGAACAGGAAGAGAAGGTGGAAGACTTCTTCCCTGCCACATACATCACAAACGAATTCTTCTCCACTCCATTTATCCCACAAGATTCTGTGGATGTTTAGATCACTCACGTGATCGTAACAGCATTTATCAAGGAGATGGAATTCAGATGAGGTAATTCATAACTCAGATAGCTTTCATATGTTTTACCACTGCACTTGCAGACACTTAGATATTTTCCACGTGTACAGCCAAGGTCATCACATGTTAAATACAAAAAGAACCACTGTTTGGACAAGTGTTTGCTTCATGTGTACAGGTTAACCTTTGCAAGTACCACAGCTCCAGGAACAAGTGGTGAGTCTGGATTACAAATCCATCAGGTGGCAAGCTTCACCAGGGACAACCTATACTCAGAATTAAGACTGCAACTACAGGAGTGCACCCATGATGTATTTGGTACTCGTCAGTGAGCTCAAATGCCTAATGAACAACTGGGTATAGACTCCTTTTGTGGACTTTATTTGCATCTCCGCCCTTCTGTGGAAGAAGGCAAAAATTCCTTTTTCAGAGTTCCTACTCAAAAGCAAGGACTGCTAACGTGGCTGCTGCCTCATCAAACCACCTGGCCTCGCTGCACGGGTGGCCAAGCTGTCCTGAAGCAGAGCGCAGGGCTGTAGACTACAAGGCATGAGGAGCAGCTCCACAAGAAGCTGAGCCATCCATGCGGTGAGGATGGGCAAAGAGCAGGATCTCAGCAGCCACTGCAGTGCAGGTCATCCCCTGTAAAGGCACACAGCCGCTAGCCAGGAGGAAGCAGCTGCTCCAAATCTCTAGTTCTAACACAAATGAAGATGCTCCCATCGAGTCCTGGTATTTTTAAGACAATAAAGCCTTTTTAATATTTCCTTAAAGGGAGGGGGAGCTTGAAGAAAACATAAATCTAATGTTTACTGTCCTTCTAATCACTTTTGTTCTCTTTTATAATCTCTCAGGCCAGCTCAGGAACAAGGAAACATATCTGACGACAGAAAGAAGAGAGAAAAACAACTTATCACTTGGGGAAGGGTTACTTTTTAAACTGGGAAATGCAAGCTCCTTGTAACTGGAGTAAAAGAGTCTTTGTGCTTATTTTATCAATACCTTTCTTTGCAAAGTGGACTATGTGTAGTTAATACCATTAAGTATTCTAATAATGGATTCCAGATAAAAGGCTTTCAGCTGAGCTAGGAATAATCCTGAGGGACTGGTAGCTATAAAAAGGAAAACACTACCAGAGAAGGGCAAACAAAAATAATAAAGGAACATGCTGAAAGCAACTTTTCCACATATTGCAAAGACAGCTCCTTTTGAGCCACTATGCTATATAATGCATTCAGACAGTGCACTGTAAGCAGATAGGTGTATTCTGTGCTATTAGTTGAACCCTTCACGATTACGAGCGAAAAAGCTGCCTTCCTGTATTGAAGTGGATGCTCCGGAGACATGTCTTCATTCCACTCTGTAAGGCTCACTTTTGACTCTTAAAAGAAAGGTTAACTCAGTTTTTACAATGTCTTCTATCAGCTTTTTACACTGCAGGTGTACTTCTAGCACTGATGGGAGGTAATTTCCCTCTTGTTTTTGTTTTTTAAATGTACCACAGTTTTATGACAAGTTTCAGTAAGCACTTGGGGCTGCAGGCATTACAAAGGGACTACTTAGCTAATTAGTGATGAAAATTTTGCATGGGAATCAAAGCAAACCCACACAATTATTCATAGATGTGAAAGTTGCACAAAGCAAATCCATTTTCACATCTGACCTACTACCAGAATATGTCAGGTAATTTCATCTGGTTTCCTATAGCCCACTTGTATTTGACCATACAGTGTGTCTTCAAGGACAGTGTTCGTCGTCGTCTTGACCTGAAATCTTCAGGAGACGGAGAGTTTATCCTTCCCCTAGGTATGCTAATCAGGACCTACCTTGAACTCCAGCAACTGATTCTTCTTATGCCTTTCTCCATTAGCTAAAAGGCATCTTACTGTGAACTGCTTCTTTTGGTCTCAAGCTTTGCAAGAGCCTGTTCAGACCAGAACCACAATACTGGATCAAGAAGAGTTAATATTAGGCAGTCTGTGGCACGCAGCATTTCAGCTCACCTTCCTCACAGGCCTCATCACGATCTTGCAGCTGTTCCATGGTTTCCAAACTCATCACAGGACCACAAGACCCCTGTGGGTACCTTGAATGTTGAAGTGAAAAAGCTTTGGAGATAGCATACTCAGAGGCTTGCTCCACTCTCTTTAAATTAAAGAAAGGAAAACATTTCTAAGGATTGCTGGACATAAAATTTAAACTTCCTGTATCCAAGTTTCTCCTCCAGAGAGGGCAAACATCAGTGGGAATGTAACACAAGACAGCACGGCTGTTATAAGAAACAGATTTCTTTTGAAACACATTTCTCCAACTGCTATTGATTGACTGAAGAAATTGGACTTAGAAATTATTAAGTAATATGCATTCATTTGGCAATTAGTGCCAATCACAGTGATTGGAGAACACGTTGGGAGAATGCAAACACCCAGTCCCTGGGGGCTGAATGGAGACTTCCCGGGTTAAGTCCCCAGCAGCCACCAACTATGAAAGCTGGTATCAGCATCTTGTGCTAACCAGGCCGGCCACTGTGTGAATAACTCTGAGTGATCTTCTGTCCCATATTCATCTCTCTGAGACGTAATGGTCCTGATGTGTCACTGCAGTTTCACATGTAACACATAGGAGGCTGCACAAGGAGGCAGCCACATGCCCCACCTGCCCGAAGAAGCAGGGTGACAGCACGGGGCTACCCAAGTAAGTCACACCAAAGGAACTTCACCACAGAATTCAGTTGCCTTGACCTTAAGTGGTTGTAGATGCAGGAGAAGGTGCTTTGGGATAAATCTCATCTATCGCTGACACAAACACGCATCCTGCAGCACTGTGTAAGCCTCTCCTGTTGCCGACATGTACACACGGCCCACGGCACTGCTCAGCGGCACGTTTTGTCTGTGACCCACGCAGGACAGCGGGGTGCCTTACTCCTGAGCGAGTTATTGTGCCATTACTTCACCTTGATCCAGTGCCCCAAGCTATCAGGAGTCAAACTTCGGCTAGAAATAAGCTAAACGAAACAGTGCTTCAGCCACTCGTCTCTTTTTTTGAACCGCAGTTTAACACCGCCAAGCTTGGTGCCACTCACCCCAGTGCAGCGCAGACCTCACAGAATCACAGAATGGTAGGGGTTGGAAGGGACCTCTGTGGGTCATCTAGTCCAACCCCGCTGCTGAAGCAGGGTCACCTACAGCAGGCTGCACAGGACCGCATCCAGGCAGGTCTTGAATTTCATCTCCAGAGGAGAATCCACAACCTCCCTGGGCAGCCTGTTCCAGTGCTCCGCCACCCTCAGAAGGAAGAAGTTCTTCCTCATGTTCAGCTGGAACTTCCTGTGCTTCAGTTTGTGCCCATTGCCCCTTGTCCTGTCACTGGGCACCACTGAAAAGAGCCTGGCCTCACCCTCCTGACACCCACCCTGCAGATATTTATAAGCATTTATAAGGTCCCCTTGCAGCCTTCTCTTCTTCAGGCTGAACAAGCCCAGCTCCCTCA